ATATATATATATATATATATATATATATATATAATTAACAAATCAAAGGAATAACAGATTTGACACTTGAACCTCACAAAAAAAACAAATTAATGTGTTTTTTGTCAGAAAAAGGACATGCAAATATCTTAAAGTGTGCAAAGTTTTGGATAAAGTCATTTTCAACTGACACATGTAATAGTTCCTCCTGCTTTATACCTTAAAGGTGATAAGTAGACTTTTTAATAAAATAAAAAGTGACAATTTGGTGAAATGCATTTAATGTACCAACAAACATTTCACTCTATACAAACAAAGAAGGCAAAAAAAAAAAAAGACAAAACAAGCTTGTGAGAGAAGCTCAAGAATTTGTAACGATTGTCTTCATGAGGCGTCTACATAAAGAAGCTTGAAGACTCATAAAGAAAACAACAATTGCAAAAATTTATTTCATTCCTTCTATATATCTTTGTATGTAAATTACTTGTATCATGTCTTGTGAGTAAGATGAAATAATAAGTGACTCCCAACTTTACTTTGTGTTATTACTTGAAGTCTTAATAGGCTTTTATGTAAATAATATTTGGTTGTTGAAGATTGTAGAGGCTTCATTGTTCAAATAATACTTTGGTAGATGCTTGAAGAGGTAAGTTAAAGAATACTTAGGTTGAGTCAAAAGTGACTTGTGAAAGAATATTTGTATCTTTGTGAAAGATATTGAAACTTGATCAGGTTGATCAAGAACTGGACATAAACTCGGTGGTTGAGATGACCAGTATAAAAATATTATGTGTTCTTTGATCTTATCTCTTCATATGCACTTTTAAGATCTTGATACTACTTCACTATTTTGAAAATGTATTGAGTTTTTTTATTTATATTATTCAACTCCCTTCTAGTGTCTTTATTTTCTCCATAGTTTGGTATTAAAGCTTAGCCTTTTCACAGGGTTGAACATCTAACCATGCTAAAGGAAAATATCCTAAGGTGAGAAGTTGTGAAAGTTAGTACCTACTTGAATGAGCTTCTCTTATAAGGCCATAAACCTATAATGGAGAAGACTACTCATATTGGAAGGATACAATGGAGATGTTCATCAAATCCACCCAATATCATCTCTAGAAGATCATGACATCTGGTGATGTACTTGTGACCAAGCTAGAGAACAAGTACATGTGTGAAGACTGCAACATCCTACAACTCAACACAAAAGGCAAGATACATCCTAGCTTACTCTTTGTCTCGAATGAAGTACAACAAGTTTTGTATTTGTAAGACTTCTAAAAAATGTGGGAAGCCATCAGGGTAACTTATGAGGGAATTGACGATGTAGCTCAGACGAATTGTTATTCTTCAGAGGCATTATGAGTTGTTCTTTATGAATGAGAACAAAATCATTATTGATGTGATGCTTGAAAGATTTCAAACCATTCTCAATGGGCTAAAATCCTTAGTAACCGAGTTCTCTAAATCTTAGAACAACTTGAAGATCTTAGATAACTATTCGAAGATTTGGGAGTCAAAGGCCATCGCAATATCAGAGACACGAGACCTTAAAACCCTTACACTCAATGAACTTCTGGGAACCTTAAGAGCTCATGAAGTCCATCTAAACAGTCGGGATCACCTAAAATTTAATGACTCTATTGCTCTAAGGATTGATGAAACCAGGAAAAATAGAGAGACAAAGGTAAAACTATAAAGGTGGAGTATGATAGTACCAGCTCAAAGAAAAGTTTTGAGAACTCGATGGATGATGACATATCTCTCATATCCCACTACAATAATGTTTTAATTTAGAGTCGGCCAAAAGTTGACTCCAAATCATAAAAATCGACATAATATTGTCGGT